TTTTTTAATTTTTTGTCACAATTTTTAATTAATATTTATCTAATAAGTTTCAATTTCATTTTTTATCCTTAACAACATTAAGTGATTATTATATTTTTATTTTTTTACATCAATTTATCACAAAAATATATATTATCTTAATAAACAAAATTTACAAATTAGACAAAGTGATTAAATTTTCTTTCTTTATTTAAAAATAATATTTTTTTTGTTAACAATAAAAATGAGGGGTGTAATTTCATATTATAATTGATTTTATTTATTTATTTTCATACTATTATTTTTATAAAATTAACAATATTAATAATAAAAAATAAAAATATTAAAAAATACATTTACACATGTTCTTATTAGTCCTTTAATATTTAACAACAACTATTTATATCAATCGAATTTGTTATTTACTATTTGCTACTCACTACCCACTTTTCGCTTCTCACTTTCCACTTCCCACTTTTCACTTCTCACTTTCCACTTCCCACTTTTTACCATCCATCATCTATCATCCGCTAACTATCGCATGTTACAACTATCGCACGTTACTACCATCCGTTATCCATTACTCGTTATCTATTATTCGTTGAGTTTTAACCACTATATCAAATAGACAATTAGATATTAAGAATTTTCTTCATTATTTTTTTATATCAAATTATGAGATATATAATAAAACATATCTATTCATTCTTTTGTCCCTTTTTCTCATTTTAAAATTTAAATTTAATATTTTTTATTTTAAAATTTTAAATTATTAACCACTTAATATTCCTTTAAAATTAGGGTATATTCTACTGTTAACAATTAAAATAGTTGTTCCATAGGAATCAGAGTTTGCTTCCTTGTAGGAGCTCTCCTACGGAGATTTGTAAGTACAAAAATTTCAACAACATACTTCCAATCAAATATGAGAGATTACTTGATTTTTACTATGTATGTGGCTTTATGGGTCTTTTTAGGTGGATTGTGATCTTGGTTTCGATACGACGGAAGCTGGAAAAAAGTGTTGAAGCAGTGCGGTTAAATGGCTCGTATCTAGGTTGAAGTCTGAGGGTCAATTGAGGTTCATTAATTTGGTCTAATTGGTAGTCAAGGTTCTCTCCATCACGAGAGTCAGAGAGCCTAATGACAAAAGGTATGGGTGATGTTTGGATAGCTACGTAATCCAACACTGTTGAAGTCCTCAGCTGCTTCTACACCTATAAATCCCGAGGATGGTTCCTCGGGGAAAACACTCCGACGCTCAAGTTAGCAATACTCGATATTCTAGAGAGAGATGCTCTCAAGGAGTAACTGCAGAGAGAGAATCGTAGAGATTAATTACTTTTTTCAGAGGTAGTTGGGGGGTATTTATAGCCCCAAGTGCTGACATGCATCCGCACATGTAAGCCTCCCATTGGCCCACGTTTACTGCCCATGTGGGCATATCTCGTCACCTTGGGCCGGTGGATGTGTGATTGGGCCTGCAGCATGTGGCCCGGAATGGGTGTTGAGCCTAATCCCAACATTACTCCCCCCTTGGTGTTCAGTTGACGAACTGGGCTGAGAGTCTCGTTAGCACGGCATTTGAGGAGTGATGTTTTGTGTTCATGACCGACCTCACACATGAACGACCTGATCAGCTTGGAGACATCGTGCACGACTGGATGTGCAAGCGCATGCTGGCTTTATGCCTAGCAGACGTGAGGAGCTGGTGTTAAGACCAGTTGAGCTTGGTGCTAATCAACGAGCCGAGCAAGCGCACAAGGGCGATCTTGTATAATGAATTTTCAGCATGGAGCAGAGGCGACCAGACGGGCTGAAATGAGCGACCTCCTTCCATGATGATAAGCAAATGTGAAGAAGTTGGTTACAATTTAACATTCGATGTTCAACACTAATGGTGAACCTAAGATTTGTTACGACCTACCCTCTGCAGACTTTTTGAGTCAGGAACCTCTGAAGAGATCTCGGATTGGAACGAGCTGATTTCTCGAGATTTTCAAATTTTGAATTATGACATATTTGAGGAGATCCCAAGTTTGTTATGAGCTGATCCCTGAGATTATGCACGATCTGGTCCATCAGATTTTTCAAATTTTGAATTATGGCAAATCTGAGGAGATATCGGGTTTGTTACGATCTGATCCCTGAGATTATGTACGATCTGGTCCTTGAGATTTTTCAAATTTTGAATTATGGCAAATCTGAGGAGATCTTGGGTTTGTTACGAGCTGATCCCTGAGATTATGTATGATCTGGTCCTTGAGATTTTTCAATATTTGAATTATGGCAAATCTCTGAGAAGATCTGCTCTCAGAGATTTGCCCAGGGCGTTTGGTATTCTTCTGCTAACTGTAGATACCCTTTTGCCTCCCCGCAATAAATGCTAGCTCTGCATTTGAGGGGACGTGACAGTTGCAGACGATGCGTTTTAAGTTCTTTCCCCTAAATGGCTGCCACGCGGACGCGCTTAACTAGGGGGCCATAAACACGCGTATGGTGTTTACTGAGCACCATCTGAAAGGCCAAAACAAAACAACGGTTAGCCCTTTTTCATTCCATTTTTTGCACATTCTTCAGAGAAGGTTATAAAGACACGTCCGGCCATTTTCCAAAACCTCTAGCAAAAAGACATTCGACTTCAACTATTCAGGTAAAAAATGGCTTCTTTTCACAATGCACGAGAGTTCCAGGGTAACCAAAGTGAAGACGAAGAGGTTGATGTGATATCCGTGGAACCCATCACCATGATAGTGCCGCCGAAGTTGTAGGATTCACCCAGAACCGTCGCGCCAGAGAGCAGCACTAGTTCGAGCGTGGGCGGTGGTTCAGACGACCACCAGTCTTCAATGTCCAACGACTCGCCCACAGTAGAGACACCTAGTGAAACAGAGGGTGGTGAAGAGGCTGGTTGTAGTGCGCTGGTGATGAGTATAGCCGCAGAGGTGGTGGTATTTGAGGGGTGGGAGAGCAAGGTTCTTAGCGGAAGACTGGACAACCTTCGTAAGGCCCCCAAAACCCTACCGGTCGGATTTAGGTTCAGGGCAGCACTGCATCATGAAGTTGTAGATGGGGCGGCTACAATAAAGGGGTACAAAAAATTAGAGGAGATGGTGAGGAGGTACCATATCCCCAGAACCGTCCTGATCCGAGCTGGGACACCGAACAAACGGGTGTGTTCAGTATCGCGGACGGGCTAGGTGCTAGTATACGTAGACCATTTTGACGCTGGTCTACATTTTCCTCTGCCCGGACTAATTTTTGATGTCCTGGCAGAGTATGAGCTGGCCCTTACCCAGCTCACTCCCAACAACATAAAGTTTATCATAGGCTTTATGCTGTTGTGTGAGAGGCTAGGGATGCCTGCAAAGGCAGCGGTCTTCAGGTTGCTCTTCTTGTGCTGTTTGTGTCCCTCCACCAGCGGTACGAGATGGTATTACATCTCTAGGAGAGAGAAGATGATGATATTCACCAATATCAGAAATAAGGTGGCGAGGTGGAAAAGACAGTTCGTTTTCATTCGAGACACACGAACTGAGAGGATCAATAACGAGCTCGCCGCCCGTTTGTCGGAGTGGCGCACACCTACCACGTATATGAACTACCCACAGCTGACAAGTGGTGATATCAACCTAAAGAACCGGCTGCTTGAACATGTGAAGGCAGGGGTTTTAGTGGATCTGGAAACCTTGGTTATCCCGGATCAGATCGCACTTCTTGGGTTTGTCGACGTGGCAAACCTTCACGGGGAAGGTATATTTCTACAACATAGCAGGATTTCTAGCCGACCTGAATCTTATGCTTTGTTTTGTGAAGGAGAAATGAGCAGCATTCTGGAGAGGCAGCGCCAGCGAGCACAAGGCTCAAGGGGCCGGGGAGCTGGGTCAGGTTCCCAGCGTCAATCCCGGTTTGACTAGCGGTCACCTACTGCACCGGGGCGCAGCTCATAGCATCGAAGTTCCAGCTCGACACAGAGGCCACATGTCGAGCATAGAGTTGAGCCTGCGCCCTCCAGCTCCAGAAGGCGCGCAAGGGAGGACTCTGACGCAGAGGATGACGTTCCACTCATCCGGCGGAGGACGAGTACCGGCTTGCAGCCCACCCCAGCGGCTGCTGCACGACCTGCCAGCGTGCCCCAAGTGCCAGTTCGCGAGTTTGCGGAGGCCGCACCAGCCTCGTCATCTGTGGCGGGGCCCAGAATTGCATACCCTGACGGCTTCAATTACATCAGGACTGAGTGCCAGACCGCTATGTTGCAGGGTATGCAGAACTTTGTGCCCCCTGCAGATCGGCTGCGCGCAAAGGGGCACATTCAGCAGCATAGGGGACATGCTGCCTTAATCAAGCTGATGGATGTAAGTCTACTTGCCGATCTCATTGTTGTGCCTTGTTATTTTGTGCTAGTAACTGATGAGTGTATGTCTGTGATAGGCGTTCAGCTACACTGTCGCGCTCTTTGAGTGCGAGCAAGGAGTCAGGGCGCAGAACAACGAGCTCCAATAGAGCTGCAAACAACTGGCCTCTGAAAAAGCCAATTTGACTGACGAGGTCAATCGTTTGTAGAGCTCGGAGATGGCCAACCGGGCGGCGTCAGCAGAGAGCAGAGCTGATGAGTTGGCCCGTAAGGTGGATGAGTTGAAGGAAGAGCTCCAACGAGCTCAAGTGGAGAAGGACACCAGCATCCAGGCTGCCAAGGAGGAGCTCGGTCGTGCAGAGGAACGAGCTAGGAAGACAAAGTCTGATAGAGAGAAGACTCTGCACGAGCTTTGCCCGAGCTTAGGCGTCTCTGGAGAGTACGAAAAGACTCCACCAGCGCGACGTCTGCTTTGCTCGCGCACAAGGGGTTGAGTGGCTGATGGGAGCAGAGATGCTCCAAGACGCCGTCGCTGTTGCCCCAGCCAACACCACCACGGACATTTTCAACGAAGTTCGTGGGAGGGTGCTACACGTCCGGGCTGACTTCCCCATAGGAGAGCTGGCCTTCTTCGAGGGCGAGGAGATCGACAACGAAAGGAAGAGTCTTGCCCCTCCAGTTGACACCAGGGTGAGGTTGAAATGGGAGCTGAATGAGGAGGGGTTGCTCGTGTGGCCCCCTTCTGTAATTAAAGAGGGGAGGACACAGAGGGGTTCTCAAGCTTTGATGCTTAGGTGGCAGACCCCCATGATGTGCCTGCTAAGCCTTCCAGCACTCCTCCTTCTGCTCAGCCTCACCCCCAGCTCGCCTCGGCCACTGTTCCTGCTCCTTTAGATCGATCATCTCCGGCTCGATCTGTTTCTGCACTCAACGATGCATCCATCCCCGTCGACCTGACGGATGACTAGCTTAGGATTTTCTGCTCTTTCTTTTGTATTTCTTTTTATATTTTTGTTTTAATCAATGAACTCATTCAACATATGTACTCCACATGTAAAAATTCATTGATTAAGTATAAATTCTAATTTTTTTCTTTCAAAATTGCTGTGTATATTGCTGTGTACTATTCAATACATTGCCTTTTACAGTTGATTGATGATAATCTGAGTTAAGATAATAACATCAAAATGCTAACTGTAAAACTTTCTAAGGTTGTGTATGTTCCAAATGAATGGTAATGAACGGCCTTCTAAATCTGCCAACTGGTAAGACCCAGGTCGTTGAATAGAAATAACCATATACGGTCCTTCCCAATTAAGAGCGAGCTTGCTCATGTGCGAATAAACACTGGTTAATCTAGCTTTTCGTAAAACCAAATCGCCAACCTGAAACTGACGAGCTCGAACTCTTTTATTATAAAATTTTGCAACACGACTCTGATGCGCCATGTTTTTTATTTGAGACATTTCCCTGACTTCCTCCACTAGGTCTAGGTTCTCTCTTAAACGTTGCTCATTATTGAGATCGTTATGGCGATCTGATCTATGAGATGGCAGTCCTACCTAAACAAGGATGACGGCCTCAGCTCCATAAGCCAAGCTGAATGGGGTTTCGCCTGTAGCCGAGCTGGGCGTGGTGCGGCATGACCAAAGCACTTTATTGAGCTCGTCAACCCAATTAGAACGCAAAGCTAAAACATGCGCCTTGAGGCCTCACAAAACAATTTTATTAGCGGACTCAACCTGTCCGTTTGACTGTGGAGTATACACAGACGTCAAGGCGAGCTCGATGCCATAGTCGTTGCAGAACCTCAGTGCCGTGGCTCGGAACTGCGGACCATTGTCTACGATGATTCACTTTGGAATACCGAACCTATAGACAGATGACCGAGCTGAGCCACAAATTATATTTGCGTATAATGGGCCAATGACTTAAGTTACCAAAGAATACCTACACAATATTGAATTGAACAAGAATTCTTCTATTTTCTTTTCTGTTGTCGTGGACAATGGTTTAGCCTCTATCCACTTGGTGAAGTAATCCACCACAACAACAAGGTAAGTGCAACCTCCTTTGCCTTTCACAAAATGGCCGAGCAGGTCGACTCCCCATTGAGCGAAAGGCCAGGGAGATGAGAGTGATGAGAGCATTTCTCCTGTTTCAACAAAGATACTTATGCTCAGTTTATAGCAAAGAAGTCAATCTCGTACCGTACCGGCCGATAGGGCCGGTACGTACCAGTTTTGACACTTGACCGAAACGGTACAATATTAAATTTCGTTTCGGTCAAAATTTGGTCATTCCGATCAAAATCTGGTGTACCGGCCGGAATTTTATGTACCGGCCGGTACA